GAGTAACCCACCTATACCAGACCTACCTTACCGTCAATAGGCGACCTCCTTTAAGGATTCACCGTGATTGACCGGAAAGAGTTGGTTGCGCGTAAAGTGTGATGTGATGCTTTGATGTGAGATGACGTCATGTGGTGATGTGCAACCTGGTAAATGAGTAAGGTTGAGACATACGAATTCCTCAAACTGTGTTCTTGTTCCTAGTAGCGATGCCCTTTGTTAGTAGTACAGCCAGGAGCCCCTAGTAGCGTCCTTGCCTGTGTTCGGATGGTAGGTACGGATTCGGGTGTATGAAATGGCTGTGGGTGGCCCGCTTGCCTGATCTAAACGCAGCAAATTGACTTGCAGCCACGTTGGAAACAACTGCAATCATCCTATTTCGAATCTGGAAAGAACTGGTTGCACCTCATTTGGAAAGAGGTCTGGCTGGGCTCGAACCTGAGTCTAGCTGAAAGTTGCATGCATGGGCAACAAACTGTAGTCTTCTTTTTGAGCACTTTTGGTGAGTTGCGGCCCACACCCACATGGGTGTGGTCTGCGACTGCGGGGCAAAGCCACAGGACTTCCCCACTTCATGCACCTCAGGCAGCGTCACTTTTCCAAACTCAAACACGATGAAAGATCGCCCGAGGCCCGGGCCCAACCCCATAAACCCCTCTGCGACATGGTGTCGTATTCAAAACAAAAGTTTGGTTTTTCTTTCTAGCAGCTTCTTGTTCCTAATAGTACGGCCAGGAGCCCCTGGTAGTTTCTTGCTGACAGTAGCGATGCCAGGAGCCCCTAGTAGTGTTCTAATTCTTTGCGTTGATTGAATGCTTTGTTTCAATGCTTTGCAAGGCAAACAATTTCGATGGTTCAGCTGATCAACGTGGACCGAGACATGCAACTGTGTCAGGTAAACACTACCAAAGCTGGGACTTCTGCCATTGGCTACCAGATGTGTGTATGTTGTAATACATGTTTGTCTTTCATGAAAGAACTGATCTGAAAAATGTTGAGGACATCCGGCAGTGGGTGACCCTGCAAACTGAAGTGAAGGATCCTCGCATGACAGGTAGCAGGGGAGATGCCCTCCCTTGTTCCCACTCGCCCAAGACAGCACTCCGTCTTTGGGCCTGGACAGGCCACTTCCACAAGCTGCTTGGGGTTTCTACCAGGCTTAGCTCATCTTTTTGTGTGGTGTGTATACCCAAAGGAAGTGAAAGTAGAAACGTCATACAAACCAAGTGCAAAGGTTGGTGCAACAACACGTATTTCACGGTCGCGTGCAGCGAGAAAAAAGACTCACCAAGCCCGAAAATGCGCACGACACCACAACAAGAGTGCAGTGGAGGAAAGCACTCGCTCCAGCCCACCAATTTCTGCGAGCCTGCGCAGTCAAAACCGCAAATAGCAGCGAATTAGCCGGACGCGGACGCGAGCGCCTCGGTCAAACACCGGGTCTCAACGGTTACGGCAAGAACACCTAGTGTGACCACCCTGTTTGGGGAATTAGATTGTTTTGGGGGATGCATTTCTGCTCATTTTAGGATGTCTTTCGCAGCCTTGAGTGATAGATGTTTAGGCAGAGTGCAAGGTGTCACTGACTGGCACGAGATGACACCAGAAAACGCTAATGATGAAACTCACCAAAGGAAATATGACCAGTAGTTATGTATGCTTTGCTATTTCGTGAACCATGGAGTTTAAATGCCAACTGAAAAGCCTGCAAAACCCCAGTGGAGAAAGCCGGATGACGGATACTACAGTCTTCGCGTCTTCGCATCTTTGCTTCGAATTTCGCAGACCCCGCGCGCGGGCACGATGGATACTTGCGGTTCTGACATAAGTTGTAAATCAAACTTGGCAATGGTAATGGACAAGAGAACCCACAAGTGCCAGAGGCTCTTGGTGTAAATGCTTTATGATAAAGGACATATAAGCTATGATCTGAATTGTAGGAGAAGGCTAGGAAAGTGGTTTCTGAATGGATGAAGGCACAACACGAACAAGCAAACAAGGAACTACGAAAAGTCAGTCTCCAGTGTGCATCGAAAAGCCGCATTTAGCATCGTTTAGCAATGGACACTTTTTGGCAGCTTCTGCAATCTTCTGCACTTCTCAGCTACTAGTAGCTCCTGGCAATACTACTAGGAACAAGAAGCTACTAGTTAGTAACAAGGGCATTTCTGGTAGCAAGGATGCTAGTAGGTTGGAGGCCATCGAAAGTAGATTGGAGGCCATTGCTTCATGTTTTCTCTGCACAAAAAAAGCTTCGCAGTGACTCGCAGTGACTCGAAGACTTCTCGCTTCCTTTTCACGAAAAACGCTTCAGTTCTTGCCACGACCATTCTGACTCTTCCAGGCTCGACCGCCGTCGGAACGAGTTGTTCCGCCCCAGCCATTGCTCCAGCCGTTGCTGCTCCAGCCGCCTGAGCCCCAGTCTGCTCCGCCACCTCTGTAGCCCATGGTATTTGCTATCTGATCCTTGGAGACGAAGAACTTGTCCAACTGACTTATGCGATTCCTCACAGCGGACAAGTCTGACAAGTCTGATGTCTCATGGACAGTGTGTCCACGGTGACTGACATGCTTGTGTGCTTGTCAGCTTGTCTGTCTTTGTTGATCTCTGTCACTGTGACTGTTTGCAGCAGCGCCTGAAGCTTTGGAACTTTGTCTCAAACAGTTTGATGTTTTCATTCACCACATCCTCCTTTTCAAGAATGCCTTCCTGACAGCGGTCTTCGTAATGGAGCATTGAAATTATGCAAGCTGGGTCAACGTTTGAGCTATGCCCGCCAGGATTCTGCAACTTGGGCGCATTGTTTCTCCTCAAAGGCAATCGAACTTGCCACACAACATTTGGCATCAAAATATAGAAGCGATGGCCTCCAACCTAATGGCAACAAAATTCAGGACAAGCTTCCATATAAGCGCGGATTGGTGGACGGCAGAGTTCACCATCAAGCTCCTGGAAGCTGTAACTCGCCAAGCTTGCCCTTCAATCGCCTCACCCTCCTTCTGTGTCAAGCTACCAGTATGTTCTTACTCATCACCTTGCTACTCACTTCATGCGCTTCATGGCACTTCAAAAACGGTAATGCTCTTGCAACTTTGCTCCAGAGTAGTTGTTCAGCCAAAACCAAAAACCATTTGCAGCAGATTGGTTGTCAAATCATCGTTCCCTCTCCTCAAAGGCTGCACAAAAGCTCAAACCCAAAGCAGTTGGAACCTTGGAAGCCAAGCAGGAATTACAAAGGAACAACCCTTGAACAGCATCTCAAACTGCGAGAGATTTGATGGAAACCATAGGGATCCATTGCCCGCAAACGAATACCAGGTGTGAGGCCTGTAAGAAAGTTGTTTAAGTTGTTGTTGGGAAGGGGTAGGCAAGGAGAAGCTAAATCGTGAAGTAGTTAGTAGCTTTGTGAAATGTACTATATTGGGTAGCTAGGCATAGCTAGGCATAATTTTAAAAATTACACCGGCAAGGGACCCCAAATAGTGTAAAGAGGAACAGATGGAACATGGCATCACGTGGAATGAAAGCAGGAGCACACAGATGAAAGCACAAATATGAGAGGAGACATACAAGAGCACAAATGGGAGAGTGCACAGATGAGAGCAGCAGATGCGGAAGCATGTGAAAGACCAGAGGGACCAGGCATGAGGTTGTAAGCATGAGAGTGCGACCAGCGTAGTGCCAAAAATGCTAGAGTAGTATGGCTTGAAGGTCGTTGTAAAACACAAAGCTACGACTGCACACGCGCATGTTTTCCGCGGTGGCAAGCTGCGAGTGCGTGCGATTGAAATTCAAAACCCTTCAAGAACATCTGCACATCGAGATTCACGAGCACAAATGCGAGCACACATATGAGAGCATATGGGAGCACATATGAGAGCACATGAGAGCACACATCTGAGAGCACAAATGTGAGAGCACATACAAGCACAAATCTGAGAGCACATAGGCGAGTACATAGGAGCATTTCGAAGTTCACAATGTACCGCGCCTGCCACGAAATCTGCACATCGAGGTTCACAAAGTACTGCGCCTGCCGCGAAATCTGCACGTCGAGGTTCACAATGTACTGCGCCTGCCACGAAATCTGCACATCGAGCTTCACAAAGTGCTGCGCCTGCCACGAAATCTGCACATCGAGATTCAC